CCCATTTCAGCAGCTTGTACCCGGGTTCGAAGTTTTACAGTGATGGTCCACGATTCATGACCGTAGGTAAATACGGGGATAAAGATCGACTTGAGTATTGAAAGCTTAGTTTTCAGACAGAGCTCTGCTTTCGTCACAACGGGTCGGGCTAGTTCACGCAGAACGCCACTGGCTACAGAATAAATGCAGTTTAATTTTTTTTTAAATTAACCACCAAATTTAATTCATGGTACCGTTAAGAGACGGCTGCTGTGTTAACTGACACATCATATTAATGGAATTGAAAGATCACTTAAGCAAGCTTCTTCTAGAGAACAGTAGTCTCATACAAAGCATTGATGTTGGTAATTTCTTTGGCATGCAACTGCTGTGCGATCCACATAGACCATGAGATAGCTGCAGCTTCAATGACTGGTGCAGCGTCATTGCAAAATCTCTGTTCTATGAACAGAAAAGACCAAATCCTTTAATCCAGAGGTTTCTCTTACTTCAATGAATCACTACACATGAAATAAACTGCAATTATAAATCATACTTCGGCCTCCACATTGTAGAATGCGAAAAATGAATAGATATGGACACAATCAGTTTGTGCTCCTGCTGACTTAGAGGTAAGAATGTGACCCCTAAGTCTGAAAGCAGCAATTCAAAAACTGCAAACTGTGCAATGTAGCATGAAATGATGTCTGGTGAGAATAACAAGACAAGATAGGAAGATCACTGAATGGGTAAGAAAACAAACAGGCGTATGTAACGTCATTGCTTGAGTGAAGAACTGCCAATGGGCTGCGCACGTTGCAAGGAGATCATATCGTCGTTACACCAGCTAGGCGTTCCAGTAAAGAGGAAATGGCCCATAGGAAGACCTCCGATCGAAAGCAGAATGAGTTGAAGAAGTTGGATGGATCAAGATGGAGCAAAATATAAAAATTGGACGTTCATGGCAGTCTTTGAGATGCCTTAATCCACCAGTGGCACGAAAATAGGTTGGTGATGACGAAGATCAAGGCAAAGAACGTTGGAACGTACGCTCCTTTGCAGCAAAATTTATACTGAAATTTAAATCCGCCCACTAACGAAGTAATCGGATTCAAGCGTTGTCAGAGCTGCTTGTTCTTTAACGGCAAATCTGCCTAAATTCAAGATGCCCCAACTCCAAACGCGGAGAGAATAATGAGGGCTTCCCAGTGAAACTATGATAAAATTTTATAATATATAACATCTTGTATCAAATCACATAATCTGTCCTACGAACGGAAGATGATGCTTCGATGAGACGGAAGATTTATAAATTGCCTGACGAGTGATATCAGATGATTAAGAAAAATTCATTCAGCTGGTACTGATATTCGAAATAATGCAGCCTAGTCTTGCATATTAATACTGCCATTGTTTGCAACATAGTGATATTTTAAACCGACATAATATCGGAATATCAAAAGCAACAAGAGCGAAAAAATTCCTGAATAAAGTTGGCCATATTATATGTAGTTCATATAGTCATTCTGTTGAACATATGACATCTAAGTATACAGTGAACCTCGTAATCTGGGCTCACTTAAAAAGATGTTTTCTATGGCGCCGTCAAAAACTTAATGACACATAGCATGATTTAAATGGCGATCATTCACTTTTCTCCTGCTACTATGTGCCTTGGGGAAGTCTCAAGCATGTTACAACATGGAATACACCATGCAAAATTCAGAAACCGCCTTTTAAGAAATTTATCAGTTGACACATTCTTTTGTAAGAAAAAAACTACATACGGATTTAATACCAAATAATTTAAGAAAAGCAACTTCGGTAAAGACACGAAAATGGCATTCAATATATTCAAATGATATGGCTTTCCTCAGTACGCCAGATTTCCAAGGTTTTCACTACCGTCGAAAAAAGTCTAGTTTTCAGGTACATTTTCAGAGCTATATTATTACGTAATAACACCCTATTTAAGGTTGTCGTCATTAAAACGTGGTAGAATCATTCACTTATTTACGAAAGTTTTTCGTCGCAGATTTTTTTTCTAGACTATTCTTCAAAACTTAAATTCGGCGTATCCATTGTGGGAAGCGAACAGTTGACACTATGGTACGCTAACGAAGTAATTGCCATTGGGAGGGAGTAGACCGGAGTCATTATGCCTTACGAGACAGTTTGCTTGTTTTCTTCCTATCTTGTGATAATCACCTTAAACGATATGTATGAGCAGAATGTTTCTCATTCTATGGCATGTGCATTTTTTGATTTTAAACATGATTATTATAATGGACAGGCGAGTTTCTTCATCTTTACAGAAACAGTTCCTTTCAGAACACATATCATCTATATCTTCTTCAAGCATATTGCTCCGTGCTGTTTTTCTGGTCCAAGATTGTATTGTTTCCGTTCAAACATAAGAAGCCGGTGAATTAAGAAGTTCATGCTCAACAGGACTGATTCGTAGTGCCTGCCAACTTCTTCTGATCTGTACACTTAGTAGGGATTCATTTGCCCGGAAACACTGTAGAATCATTTCTCACGTTATGCAAACACGTATTTACTACTAATTTAAGCAGCTGCTCTTGGTCTTTCATTGTAACTATTGTCGCCATGTCAAATCACAACAGTGATCGGCCTGAGGTAAGGTATATGCAGATTGTTGCAGAAAGGGATATTCCTTCATGAACTCTAGAATTGGACAAGTTATGAAAGTCCCTAAAAGTGCAAGAAAAGTGCCAAACTGCTCTACACCTTCATTTTCTCTTTGCACTTAAGAAATCCTGTGCTGTACAGGTACTTTAAAAATGTTGACTTCTGGGGTTAAAAACGAGCCCAGTTTGGCACTTGTCTTTCATAACGAATCCGCTAAACGTCCAAACCCACTTCCTTTACTAGTTACCAAATAAAATAATCTGCATGTGCCGGTTAGCGAAAGATTTGGTTGGATATGTTGAACGGCGCCCTCACTCCAGAGTTAGACTTTCGTCCTTGTCAAGTTCAGAATTGTATGAAAGTAAGAATTTGAAGAACAGTGTTAAATATCAAGAGCGAAGATGCATATTTCTGGTGAACTTTGCAGGAAAGTCGCTTTGATATATACATCTTTACTTGCTCAATATTAGCCACCGGGGTGACGAAATCATCTGCTTTACTCCCACGGAAAAATATAACGTTATGACACATCTACCAGTAGCATAATGAAAGAGTAAAATCATCGGTCCAACAGTTCAGAAAGTTTCTACAGTACTTTGATATTCGTTGCTGATACTTTGTTTTAAGACGCTTAAATGATGACATTAAAAGCGCCTGGATAAACCCGTCTTTAAATTGCATAAATGAATTAGCATGATTGAAAAGGTGGCCATCTTGACTCGTCGTGAAACATTATGTTCTTTCGAGGTATGAGTAATTGTCATATTCCAGGCACACACTGTTATGCCATGAAAACAAGCTTGAACATCTTGGTATAGAGATACACTTGAATGACTAAATAAACATAATGTTGAGTGGTGCCATTCATAGGGAATTGTATTCGTACATCGGCAGTTTTCCATCGTGATTAGCTCAAATGATAATCTTAAAATGTCTTAAGCATCAAATAATTTCAAAGCATTGTAATCAAATGCAGCAAAATTCATAAACATATTAATCATTTTATTTGCCACTTGCACTGTGGACTAGTTTTAGTCAGCTGGGTCAAGGAAAATTAATAATACAAATCAATCGTACAGTGCACGGATTGCAGCTTTTATCGCAATCACTATGGTCACGCTATAGTACCGCACGAATTTTATTATTCACAGATTGGTACGCATCTCTTGATAAGCTGCACTGAAGCACATTGGATGAATTTCGCGTTCAAGAGAAATTGTAGTTAATCAGAAAAACATTATGCCGCTCCTAGGATTTGAACCCTCCATATCCACAGTCTAGAGCAAACTACTATTCCAGTACGCAACAGCCTAGAACGAGTACAGATGTAGAACGAGATATAATTGAGAATAGAATTACAGTTAATTCAAAAGAAATGTTACAACCTTATACGCCGTTGCCTATTTCTCAATTCTTTACTGCTTATCTACTACATGTATCAAATTACTTTTCAACCAACATTGGCTTTTAGCACTTCTTCTACTTCCGTTGAGAAAACGAATTTTTGCGGTTTTTCATTCCGTTATTTTGGTATTCGTGATTCAGTATTTTCAACAGTGACAAAAATGAAGGAGATACTGTATGGCGCATAAAAAAATTTTTTTGCTAAATAATTTCGGACTAATGCTAACTTCTGGCCACATGTTCAGTGCCATCCCAGACACCATGCAACTTCGTTAACGTTTTTGCGAATCACATCGTCTAAAATGGCAGCAACGCTTTTGCAGCCGGCAATCGTGGCGCAGAGGAACTTTTCGAACTGGTCTTCATGTAGTCGTGAACTTAATTCCTGCACGACGATTTCTTCGGACTTGGGGAAGAGCGCCAAAACCATTTCTGGACCCGAGGACATGCCCTCCTCTAAGTGGTTCAGATCGACGATTGTTGTGTCGTTGTACATGGTGCTTGAGCAACTGCAGATGTATCCATTCATCGCGATGCCGGCGTCGATCAGTGCAACCGTGGCGGCATTGAGACACGCACTAATGGTGCTACCATCTGCCTGCAGTACCTCACAGAGTATGTCTATCTGTGAATACGGGTAGAGGGCCGTTCGGACCACCGGCTCGAAAGCCCTTGTCACAAGCTGCTCGACTTCCTGTGCCTTTCTCTCGTTTAGCCCTTGAACCGTCCTCTTGCCGGTAGCAAAGCTAGCCACGCAATATCGGCAACTGATGACTGCCCGGTCCGGAAGCGCCAAGCCCTTGTTCTTACGCATCTCGTGAGGTCCATACACAGTCACCAACACCTTCGTTAAGCCCTGCTCTAAATAAGCAGAGCCATCGGCCTGAGCACAGGGTCCAAGACGACAGGCCATGCGGCGCAGTTCGTGCGGCTTCCTGCCGTCTTGCCGATAGCCATGTTCTGAAACAAGCTCCATCAACAGTTAAGAAGTCGGGGCACTACCTTCTGCTGCCATCGACTTTGACTTTATTTCTGTGAAAGTGTTCATCAATCGCCGATTAAAATTGACGTTCTTTCGTATACAGCTGCTGACACAGGATTCTTCGTCGTTTCGTAGAAAACTGGAGCCGAAGTCGTAAACGCAGTGATTGAAACAAAGCTGAGTTAGAACGTTATATATCTGTAGAAATTCCTTGATCTGAAAACAACCAAAATCAGATAGGCCATCAGCAACATACTAAGCAATAAACAAATAAAGGAAGATGCACATATCAACATGGTCAAGAAAATAAGTCAGCAAAAAATAAAGCTAGATAAAAAAGAATAAACAAAGAAAATAATTTAAATACGCCGTCTCAAAATTTTATTCGCATTATTTAAGGTTACCTGGCGTGACACCGAACTCATACTGCTTGATGAGATCGTTTCTAGCGTACTGCTGTTAGACAATATCATTTGAAGGTGGCCCAAGTAATAGTCGAACAGTGAGGATAATGTTAAATAAAATCTGTATGCGGAGCACACGTTCTGAAGAATTTAACGATGAAGAAGTTTGCACTCACATAAAGAATTCAAATTATGTTTTAAAATTTATTTATTAACAAAGTCAACACAAACTTAAATTGCTTTTCTTGCGTATAAGTACTTTGCTGAACAACTTTATTTGCTGCGTTTCAGGTGGAATTCAACTGAATGAATGCAATAATAACCCCCATTTTTCATGGACTCTTAGCCCTTGCCGCAATTCAATGCCTTTATGAACATTTTCAGTAACTAAAAATTTAAACTTCCAGAAATTAGACAACTAGCCGATCACAAAGAAAAAGATAATTTGAATTTTATGATTTCACAAAAAGTGTTATTGTTATTATGCAGTCAGATCCTGATTAGTTACAGCGATTAAAGCGATATTTTTAAACGAAAAAATAAAATTCATCTAAGGTATTTTAAATTCTATGTATAAGAACATTCAGAAATTTAAGAGGAACAGTTGCAAAGGGCACTGTATAGCAAAAGCGCTTTCAAATAAGCCAAGTCATAATAGTCAGTCAGTTTAGCTCTATCATCTCTGACTAAATTGCGCATTTTTTTGATATTTACAATTCATAGCAAACTGAATAAAACATTTAGTAGTATCAAGATCCATAG